TAAAAGATTTAGGGTTTTCTAGCATGGGGGATAAAAAGACTACTAGGAAATGAACAGTATTCTAGAATTTAACATGCATAGATATTACCTAGAGACTTTGTTCATATGCAGATTTGGACTCAGGAGGTCTAGGGGTGGGTTCTAAAATCCTACTCCTGAAATTCTGATTCTGGTCCCTTGGACCTCACTTTGAGGAGCCAGGCCCCAGTTTGCAGAGGGATATTCTCTGAGTGGCTAGGAAGCTCATCTCAGTATAGTCATTGACCGCACTGTGAGGAAGGCAGATTTGGGTGGAACAGTAGGAGCAACTTTCTGAGAATTAACAATGTAAATTCTTAAAGTTACCTTCCTGGAACGATTTTAATTATAGAAGATATAGTGGTTTTATGAAAGCTTATGCCAATTTTTATGTCAAGTCACACTTCAAACCTTATTTGTCTATGGCGAACATGAGACTGGGGTAAAAGCAACATCAGATAAAATGTTCTATTATGTGGGAAAATCAGAGGAGGAAGTCCGCCAGTGACTCCATCAGCTTTTTGCATGCACATAGATAAATAGGTTCTCAGTAGTTCTCTTTTTACCTTCATATTAGAGAAGTGGTGGTTAAAAACAGAAAGATGGGTAAACAGGGTTTTTTTGGTGTGTTTTGGGGGTTTTTGTGTCTGTCTGTCTGTGTTTTTTTGATGGTAAAGAAAATGTGAGGGATTCAGATTCCTGCTTTCTGGCATTGCCGAGTTCCAGCTTGTCAGACAAAGATCAGTACCCTTAGATTCTCAATTTATTTTTCTTAGTTGAATTTCTGTGGCACTTCTGTATAGTCTATTTTACAGGATTTCTGTTTATTTAAAATAAAATGTTTGAGGACCCAGTACAATTGCCCTATCTGAGCAGATTTTAGTTTTTTCCACAATTTTTTGAGCTTTTTATCTTCTATGAAATGTAGAGATTAAAGTTATCTCTTTTAAATATGGGTAGAAAGAATATTAAAAATGGAAGAACAAATGTGGAAATGAAATTATGTTTTATTTTTCTAAATGACTTCCTTATTTCTTTTATAATTACACATGTACTTTTCAGGCATTTGATTTTTGTATAATTATCTCATCAGTCTGTGGCCATTGGTGTTATTATCCAGAGTGGTTATAGAAAATATGTGTTTTGTGGGTAGAATCTCTCCCTCTATTGATATTTTTTTTCTAAAACTACAGTTATGACTGACATAAACCTGTTACAAATTAGACATGTTATATTTTGTAGAGAGCCTTTTTACAATTCTATAGTTAAACTTGCACAATGGTGGGCCTAGAATAAGTATTGAAAAATCTATCCTTTTAAAATGTAAGTTATTCATTTTTAAGCACAAATAAAAGATTTCTCACAACATTAAACAAAACAATATTTCTTTAGAGACTACTTTCTCGTCACAATCCTTGGCTTTGTTGTTACTCTTAAGTCCTTTAATATTAAGACAAATAAGTTCCCTGTGCATATGGGAATTAATTTCCAAGATTTAAAAAACCCAAATTAATGACAGCAGCTAATTGGTCCTGTGTCATTATACTGGCAAAACTCCCCTGAAGTTGGATAGGGCTGACCTGACTGTTCACCCAGTGAAGTGCTACACTATCCCTGCACCAGGGCCCTCCTATTGGTTTTACACATTTCAGTAGAGTATATTTAAATACTACTTTCTCATACCTTGTACTTGAAAAGTACTAACCACACAGATCTTAAATAAGTGCACTTCAATAAAACCTTTTGAACTAGGGTTAGCAATAGTCTACAGTTTGCCAAGGTCCAGACACTAAACCAAGTTAGGACTCTGTACCAGATTTGTGGCAGACTGAGAGGAACACCACAGTGGTCACCTCTCAGACCACTGGCATAGGAGCTGCTGAGATGATAGCCATGGAGCTGAGACATATAGTCCAGTCCTTGGAGGTTAACCTGGACTGAAGGCTAGTTTGGAGAACAGCCTGAGGGAGGTGGAGACACAGTGTGCCATGCAGATGGAACAGCTCAGCAGGATCCTGCTGCACCTAGAGTCAGAGCTGACCAAGCCAGGCGTAGAGGGGCAGCGCCAGGCCAGGAGTCTGAGCCCTGCTGAACATCAAGGTCAAGCTGGAGGCTGAGATTGCCACTGACCGGTGCTGGCTGGAAGAAGGGGAGGACTTCGATCTTGGTGACGCACTGGACAACAGCAACGCCACGCAATCCATTCAAAAGACCACCACTCACAGGATTGTGGACAGCAAAGAGGTGTCTGAGAACAACCACCACCAAAGTTCTGAGGCATTAAGGCAGCAGAAGTGGGGCACCCCTTGGGGAAGCAAGAGGCCAAGAAAAAGCTCAGATATCATTGGGGGGAAAAAGAAAAAAGAAAGGCAAGTTGGAGAAAAAAACACTACCAATCGGTAACCCATCCTACCTGTGGGGAAACATCCGAACCAAGAGTTAACATCCACATGTACTATGGAGATAAAGAAAAGCTCTCTATTTAGCTAAATTAATTGCAACTTGCCTAAATACAATAATTGAAAAATAAAATTCTTTATTTGTAATACCCCCCCAAACTGGAAAGAACCCACATATCTATCAATAGGTGAATGTATATACACTTGATGGGTTTAACCTTACAGTGAAATACCATTCAGAAAAAAAAAAGGGAAGAAAAATGAACTATTGATACACACTACCACATGGATGAATCTCAAAATAATTATCCTGAGTGAAAGAAGTCAGACAAAAAAAGAGTTTTCACTGTATGATTACATTTATATAAACTTCCAGAAAAAAGGAAATTAACCTATTGTGACGCAAAGCAGCAGATCAGTGGTGGCCTAGGAGGAGCGGAAAAGCAGAGGGAAGGGATGACAAAAGGACATGAGGAAACTTAGGGTGATGGATATGTATATCCATCATCCTGATTGTGGTTGTGGTTTCATGGGTGTACACATATGTCAAAAGTTATATCATATGCCAATTGTAACTCATTAAACCTGTAAAAAAATATATACTGTAAAGAGAAAAGGAGACTAAATTTCTTCACATCTAAAATTAATTTATGCAGCCTTTGACCTACATGATATCAAAAAATGAGATCATGTAAGAGTAAATGTTTTGTAGGATAGCAGTGAAAATGTCCTTAGAATGTTACAAGAAGATGTATAAAACCAGGTGCCACTTTAAAAATGCAAACAAATTTCTTCTCTTTCTGGTTGCATTTTCAGTTCTACCTTTAAAGGAAAGTATGTGCCTTGTGCTTGCTTCTTAAATAGAAACGACATAACAGTATTTGATTTCTTGCACTTCTGTGACACTTTGAACTAAAGTGTTCAGAAGTTCAGTACCTCCATGTATGTAACAAAAATTCATTCCAAATTCATCTTCAACAACACTTCGGAACAGCATCCTTGTGCTTTTGGTGGCTGTGTCATCCAGCTGATCTCTGATGAAGGTGCGCTCTGCATTTCCTGCAGTCGGTGAACACCATCCTGCGACCACACTGCCCTTGTCTGAGACACACTTAAGGAGAGGGTAAACCAGTGACTAACTTCAAAGAACAGGAGGCAGCAATGCCTGGTGCAACTATTTATTGCCTTTATCTCAACTCCTAATACAACTGTGTACCCAGTGCAGACACCGTGACTTCTTGTTGACTGATATTGCCGAACTTAATGAACTTACGTATTTTACTTAAACTAAAAACTAAAACAAAACAAGAAGGAACCACCTGTTACAGTACTTTGAGATCACTGGGTGGACACACAATGTGTGAACTATCATTCTCAGAATTTAAACTGCTCTTGGCAGGCACCCAGGGAGTTGTTCAAGTCTGCATTTATTGCTGGACTTTGACACAACACGCTCAACTGATTGGTGGAGTTCTGGGACTATTTAGCTGGGTGGAGATGAGCATGCCTTAGAAGAATAATTAGCATGGCTTTTGATAGTAATAACATTAGAGTAACCTGAGATCGCTGTTTCTTGACTCAGAAATCATGAATTTTAAAAACGTGAAAATGAGTTACTTCAAGCAATTAGTTAAAAATCAAGATATAACAATAGTTCAGTTAGACGTCTTACTGTTGATTAGGTGGAGAATTGACAATTATGAGAAATAAGCTTGATGGTGATAGTTACTAGAGTAAAGCAAATTTTTTGCTGCTTTATTGGGCCATGAGGGGAGGGTAGATTGGGCCAGTAGGTAGGGAAGAAAAGATGCTATATATGCTACAGTACTACTTTTTCTCCAGACCATGAATTTTATTTTATTTTTTTGATTAGTTACTATTGTGTATATGTGGAAAATTAAACAAATTCTAATATTGCTTGAATTCTGTTGTTGAGTACATGATTATGAAAGGAAATAAAATAGAACTATAGATTTTTGGTTTTCTTTTCCAAGGTAATAGAGTGAGAAGATCTAGGCATTATTATAGATCAAAATGGAAAGTTAACTTTTACTTTTCTTAAACACTTAGAGGTGCAACTGGTGACAGGGAAATGCATACTAATTTATAATGATGATAAATAATAATCTCTAAATTCCACGTAAGCAATTTAAACTTCTTTAGCCATTTGGAAGTCCTTAAAAAAAATGTAGAATGTATACTTTTAAAAATCCAGACTTAAAGACTGAAAATTAGATGGTAACTTACTGGATTTAAAGATGATTGTCTTTATGTTTTACATAACATTGACTTCTCTTGACAGGAAGTCAGGGAGACAGAAAAAGTTACTTATCACTCTTAGCTGCATCCCTTGGCTGTAACTTACCTACCATGAATTCTGGAGAGTGCAGTAGATAGAGATCATGGAAGGGATGAACTATGCTAAGACTAGTGAATTTTACAAAGTTGTCTAGTGATTATTTTAATGTATTTTCTAAATTAATTTTTAAATGAACAGGCACAAATTATTCTTTGTCGTAGCAGTTATTAGATTTTGTCTGCTTATTGTTTAATAAAATTGTTTAAATTTATTGTTTGTTTTAGGACTCATGCCGGTTGCTCAACAGCCTGTCTATTGTGCTTCAAAGCATGGCATAATTGGATTCACACGCTCAGCAGCGGTGAGGATACGACAGCCACCATGTCTCTTTTTCTCTCTGTGTACATATATGTAGCATGAGTTCTATATAGTCGAGAGGAGCACATTCAGAATTCAATACATCTGAGTAAAAGAAAAATACTATACTTCAATCTTTATTGCAAAAAATAGTTTCAGATCACATAAAGGACCAAATAAAGAACAGATAATTTTAAAACGAAGTAGATTCCAAATGCAGATGCGTTATTGAAAAATGTCGTAGGGCTAAATAATGGGAAGATGGTTTTTAATTTTAAAATGGACTCCAAATCTAAAAAGTATTAACTTCAGCCTTCCTTAAATAGAATTTGCGGTATGCTTCAGCCATTGCCTGTCACTGGAGATGCCATGAAAATGAGTGAGAGCATGGGGGCAGGCAGGAGGGGTGGGGCAGGAATTCACTTGGTAGAGTAGTCAAAGATGACGCCTCCATGGAGGCCTAGCGCAAAAGGTGTACAGAGCTTAAAAAAATATTTTAGACCTAATTGACCACATGCATTGATAATATAAAATGGGAATGCTTGCCTGTTCATAATAACTGGAAAAAAGGCACCTTGGATAAAGCTAGACAAGCAAGGGAAAGTAGATGAGGAATGACTGAAGATGTAACAGGAGCCAGATCAAGAGGGGCTTATGGATTGTAGTAATGAGCCTAGATTCTATTCAAATGGTAGCCATCAATGTTTTTTTCTTTAAACACAGGGTGACAAAATCAGATTTCCATTTCAACAAGACCATTCTGGCTGCTATTTAGAGAATATGTTTGAGAGGACAAGTGTAGAAGAGGTGGAGACCTTGGGAGGTCTCTGTAGTGGTTAGTCTAGATGAGACAGAGAGACCAGACAGATGAAGAGAGAAATATTAACAACAGAAGAAATACTAGGGATAAAGAAAACAGATGTGTGGGCAGTAAATATTCAATCAAAAAAGAAAGATAAGCAGTTCTCACAATCTTAAATTCATTGGAAATTTTAATTTAATTTGCAAAGACTTAATCTTTAATTCAACTTTTAATGAATACATAAAGGTATTAAAAAGCAAAATAAAGCTCAAAGACCAGAAATCTCATGTTTATAATTGTAAGACTGGAAACTTGTACAGTCAATTCTTATTTCTGGTAATGTTCTATAAAATCACTTGCAAACACTGAATTAGAGAAGTTCCTTTGAGCCTCTGGCCAACATATTTTGAAATACATATGTGAATTTCTGTTTAAAGACACCTTATTTAACATGCACTGTACTGACATTGAACTCATGGCCAACAGCATTTATACCTCATGCTTGAGTGAAGCTTATCTAACACAGGTATTTTCTCTGTAAGGCACGTCACAGCCTTAAGAACACTAGTCAGCACTTCAGCATTATGCTTGGTTGGGGGAGGAGTGGCATTTTAAATAGCAAAATCACAAACAAAAAGCACAAAAATAAGAAAAACATGGCCTAAATACACCGTGAAAAGGACACTTGTTTATAGTTAGAAGGGCTGAAACAAGAAAACAGCATTATTTTGTTCGGCCTTAGTTGGAACATCAGCATTGGGCAACTCAGATTTCTCACTGCTCTGTGCTTGTCCACAAATGACCCCAAAAGCTCCATGAGCATTGATTTTGGGGGGTTACAAATACATTGTAGTAAGTAAGCAAATAGAATCCTCAAATAATCAACTACATTTTGTTTTACAAACAGTTCAAGTAAATCAGTGGGTTGAAAACTAAGCCAAAGATTGTTAGTCTGAAAATACTTAAATTTGTCTTCCAGTTAATTAAAAGTATCTTTAGATTGAATCAAAGTCTTAAAACATTCCACTAACAGTATTTTTGAAGCAAATATTCTGTTATACAACCCTAATCGTTGAGAGAAAACTCGGGATATTCATTTTAAGCCTCAGCTACTTGCATTCAGGTTCCTGCAGAATTCAATAGATAAGAGCAGCTTAGATAATTAAATATTTTCAGGAATTGTCCAGTAATATTAATTTTTTAAAATTAATTAGATGAGGCTTTCAAGAATTAAATCAGCACTTTCTATACATATGCTTTTACTTTTTGCTACCAGCCAACTTTAACATTTTCATTGTTACAAAGCCAGAAGGATATCTGACTAGTATTTTTCACATCAGGGGCTTTCGAATAGCTTTAATTATCAGTTTGTCCTATGCTGTGCATTTGCAAAACTATCGAAACCTACAACCTTCTTTTTCCAATTGGCAGATGGCTGCTAATCTGATGAACAGTGGTGTGAGAATGAATGCCATATGCCCAGGCTTTGTCAATACACCCATCCTGGAATCCATTGAAAAAGAAGAAAACATGGGACGATATATAGAATATAAGGACCACATCAAGGAGCTGATGAAATACTATGGGATTTTGGAGTAAGTAACACTATACCTATCTCTTTTTTCATATGATGGAGCAAGTTACTATCTACCCATAAACAATAAAAAGGGAAAAAATAAGGGGTTTTTTGTTTTGTTTTTTAAAAAATATATCTTTATTGATTTCAGAGAGGAAGGGAGAGGGAGAGATAGAAACATCAATGATGAGAGAGTCATTGATCAGCTGCCTCCTGCACGCCCCCCACTGGGGATCAAGCCCGAAACCCGGGCCTGTGCCCTGACCGGGAATCGAACTCTGATCTCCTGGATTCTAGGTCGATGCTCAACCGCTGAGCCACAGCTGGCTAGGTGAAAAATAAGGTTTTAAATTTGAGAAACTAATGCAAACTTCAAAGCTTTGGTTTAGCAAACTCTCTGAAAGAAAATATTTTCTTCTAGGTTTCTGAGTAGAATGTGTTTATACATTATGAATTTTGCTTTAAGATATAGACATTGCATCATTAATACTGTCAGCCATAATCAGATACTGTTTTAAAAAATGATGTTTAGTTACCTTTGGAAGCAATAGTTCTTTATTTGCCTAAATTCCAAGCGATCTTTACATAACTCTTTGTGAAATTTCATATGCACCCTAACTTCAACCATTTTTATAATAAGCGGGGTATCGACACACATGTTTGGTGAGTGGTGTCTGAGTTAGAGCAGTTGGAGTTTCACAGTACAAAGTCATAGCAATCATGCTGATGGAACCAGACCATCTAGGGTCAAATCCTGGCTCCACTTCTGACCATGAACTTATCCATCAAACTCAGTTTTCTCACATGTAAAATGGGGATAATACTAAAACTTAAGGGACTTTTGAAAGTCCACAAATAAGTTGATCCATAAAGTATTTAAAACAGCAACAGATCAATAACAGATATTCAATAAATGTTAACTATAATTCTTTCCATTTCTACTCCAATAACATGTCTATCTGATAAGTCTAAGATCTACTGGTAGAATAAAGATGAGAAAATAATAATCTTGTCAATGTAAATAATAAATATAAATTTATAAACCCTTCCTGTCAAAATGGCAGAAGATTAGGCATGGAAATCTACCACTACATTTATCATATAATTTAGTTAATATCTAATTGAATAAAAAATGGAGGTAACAGTAGCTTCCCCATATACATTTCCCTATTACATATTAAAGGTAGTAAATTATTTAAAAGGAACTAAAAAATGAAGTGAAAATTATGCCTTCATCTTCAGTTTGAAAATACCAGTGTTTCCTTTGCTTCTAGCCCATCGATGATTGCCAATGGATTAATAATACTCATTGAAGATGATGCTTTAAATGGCGCTATTATGAAGATCACAACTTCTAAGGGAATTCATTTTCAAGAGTATGATGCAACTCCATTGAATGTAAAAGCTCAGTGAACATCTTATGTATCAGCCATAACTGAAAATAAGCACAAGTAACATGTTCAGGCCATATCTTCATTTGAATCTAGCTTTTATAATGAAATGTTATTGTATGACACTTTATGCATTTGATGTTAATTTTTGTCTACCTGATTTCTCAAGTATATGGATAAGAAAATTAGGAACTGTCAAAAATAGGATGTGGACCAAAGCTAGATTTTGATCCTTATAGTCTAAGTAATGATCAAAACAAAGGATATTCAAGGAATATTCTGCTTTTCAAAAAATGTATTTAAATTTGTGGTTCATAAATATTAATGTTTTTCAGAACAGCATGTCAAAGGAGATACTTGAATTGTTATTTAAATCAAACCAGATGTAAAAGAAACCTCATTTTGTTTCGATATTAGCGTTTTAAAAGAGCGAGGCTACCTTCAATGGCAAATCTTTAGTAACAATAACTTTTACTTATTACTTATATACCATCTTTCAACTGAACATTTCAGCTCTTTAAAGCTGTGGCATATTTGGGGGCAGTAGTTATGGAATAAATCACAGTGTGCATACATCCTAAATGAAAAATCAGATGTATGGAAAGAAGACAGAATGTAACTGGCTCAGCGGTTGATCCACAGTTCAGCTTCCCATCTGGGAAAAATATTTCTTTACTTTTTCTTTACTTTAAGAACTTTGAGTCCCCAAAATCTCAGGAATGAAATTTTTCATAGTTACAGAAAAAAAGGGTAGTTAGTGTTCCTAAAATGTTATATTTAAGAAAAGTTCATTAGGAAAAAAATACAAATGTAATTTTTTCCAGATTACTTCTTTGTTTATTTGTACCAATTTAAAAAGTGCCTACCTTTCAATGAAACCTTTCTTCCCTAATCTCCAGAAGTTACTTAGTGTTCTATGTATAGCTATGAAGAAGAAACTAATTTTGTCGAAGCCTCACTATAAATATTTTCATATGCTCAAAGCCATAATCCCAAAAGGTAAAAATAGCTGTGATGTTTTTCTGTTTTCCCTGTCAGGACTTTTAAGATAGGATTATTAAATGCAGCTGCTTTGGGTAACCCTATTTGAAAGCAATCATTAAAGCTAATAATAGTGAAAGCACAAGATTTCTAATTCAATCATTTCCTCTTATAACTTAGACAAAATACAAAATAGAAATATTGTATAAGTGATTCACTCTGTCTGCTAACTCCAGAGCTCTAGTTTGGAACAAAATTTATCCATGTGAGCTTAATAAATATTTCCTAGAGATACTGGAATGTTGCCATATCTTGCTCTGTTTTAATTCTGCCATAGAGAACAAATTGTCTAGATCTTCATATAATGTATTTTAGAAAACACCAAGAAATGAACATCAGCAAACATCTAATAGAGATAAATTGTATAACTAGGCACAAACTTGTTCATACGTTGTGGCAGTAGCCAATCACTGATGTGGGTACTATATGTGATGTGTCACATATTGTATGTATTTTTCTACTGTAATGTTTAAAGCTGTAGCTTAAACTTTTCATTTATGGATAATTCTTTGTATTAGCAACCTTCCGTATTCTTTGTACTTTGATTTTTAATTTTTTTCAAATCAATAAACTATGCAGACATTTACAACTGAGTAGAACTAAAAAACGTGATTTATATTTTTAAAAGTTATTTTACATTAAAATTATCTTCCATAAATAGCTTTAAATAAATCGGTAATGTTATATGATATCCCTATATACTGGTTGAGGAAAAAAATAAATATTAAATTTGGGGGAGCTTAGTTTCCTTAATTATATTTTTCAGTAAAAATCCCAATGCGAATAATATGTATTTTTAAAATGTCTTTATCCTAATAAATGAAGTAGGGCTCACAGAGCAGCAAAACTAAAAACGTGTGGTCACTGAAAAAAGATTGAAATTTGATATTGACATAGAAATGTCCAACATACTTATTTTTCCATATAACAATTTTTAAAAATTTTATTTAAAATATTACAAATGTCCCTTTATCTCCCCAATGACCCATTCCACCCCATCCCACCC